ATATTGTGTGGGTATGTGAGAAACTATCCAAAATGATAAAAAAAAAAATAGTGGCAAAACAAGATATACTATCTTTAATGACATATGTCTATCTGTTTGGTCACGGATTAGTGCTGTGTTTGAGTGGAACTGGGCTGCTGCTTTGTATTCACTGAGTCTTAATTAGGGTCTTAGTGGAGCTGTGTGTGTACCAGGAGCCGAGCCAGATCAGGAGCTGAAGAGGAGAGTGAGTTGCAGCTTTGCATGAAACACGCTCATCATCAGCTAACACTCTTCAGCTCCACTCACAGACTTCCATTAGAGCACTGCTTCTGAGCATAACACTCGCGCACACACCCACAACCTACACACGCACACACTTAAGCATTAATCAATAGAAGAACAGAAACAAACATCTTAAGGTATGTATTGTGTCCTTCTTGAGTGTCGTATATAGACATCAATGGGTCAAGCTAGTTAGACTATGATAACATTTTTAAAGTTTATGACTTTATAACGAAAAGAGAAAAGCGGTTCCCAGGATTTATTCAACCCTTTGTGATTTGGACACATTTTGTCTGTGGAGCAAATTAAGGCACTAATGAGTCAGATCAACCATTAAAGCCAGTGTATACTGACTGGATGACCACCAATATTCTGATTTTGCAGTTATACTTTATAAAAGAATGGACAGCCCAAATAAACCAGAATAAATAGGAATAGAACATTCTTCATTCTTCTAACAATGAATCACAAGTATGTCACACCAACCAAGTGTTTATGTTTGTTTGTGTTTATCCTAAAAAAGACAATGTAAAGTTTTTATACCAGTTTAAGGGTTATCCTTTAAACAGATACATTATAAGGAAATTGTTAAAACTTTAAAAAAAGTTCTTTACACCCTCATGTCGGATTTACAAAATTGGTTCTCTAAAGAACAATCCATTCTGATTTTTTTAGGGAATCAGAAGTGGTTCTTCTACGGCATCACGCAAAGAACTTTTTTTAGAATACATTTCAAGCACCGAAAACTGCTGTGCTGATATAGTATTTATTGAAGCTAGAAAACTAACTGTTAGGGTTGTTGTCTTGTAGTATGCACTAGAAGGTCTTGACAAGCCTCAGCCTTAAAACTTCGCCAACACTCTTAAAAATAACAGTGCCAAACAGATTTCTTTGGAGAAATGCTAAGAAGATCCACTTTTGGTTCCCTAAAGAACCTTTCAATGGATGGTTCTTTAAATACCTCACTCCATGGACCCTTCGTGGCAACTTTTGGTTTAAAATTGTAATGGTAGAAGACCTTGTCATTTGGATACTGAGGCAGGGTAACTTTATATCTAGCTGTTTAAACTTCTTACAGCTATGTGTGCTGTATGACACTGTATGTTTATATTTGTGCTATGTTTGTGTTGTCAGCGCTGTCATAGTGGAACACTAGGAAAAAGCTCTCAAGGTATTTACAGGCTAGTGTCATCGATCAGACTAAAGATGCGTCATGATCTGCTTCTAGGCCACTCAATCAGGAAATACTCCATTCATCACAGCATACAGGCCCAACCTGTTCTCACTTTTAACTTGCCCTGCATCAGCTAAGGGTCAACAGCAGCATCCACACACACACACACACACTAAAACACACATTTCTACACTGTCTCTCCATAAGGAGCAGTTGGACTGTGTAGTGTTGGCTGGATGATACATTGAGCTCTCCTCTTGCTTTTCTCCAGCACTCACTTCCTTATGTCAGAAAAACAACCATTACTCTACATACAACAACAATAATAATGGCAGTGGCACAGCAGCTTTAACATAACCAATTCATGACATGAACTGTCCGTGGTGCTGAAGCTAACAGCTGCAGAAATTAAATACAGACACAAGTCTGTGTGAATTTAATTGGTGATAAATGGTTGACATCTGTTGCAGATATATTGTTAATGTTTTTCATTAATAGGTCCTATAAAGGATATACACATCTATATAGACTTCTATGTTATGTGTGTTTTGAAGGTAAATGCTTCTCGCCATATATAAGTATGAACAATAAGATTAAACATTTAATTCATTAATTGTTAAAAACAATGACCCTGTCACAGGATCAGTCTTGAAAAGACAGAGGAAGTTCACTGAGTGACTCAGCTTAGCTAATAAAGATGAAGAATTTATAAAGATTGATACACCTTGAAGGCCCATATCATGGAAAACTGAATCTCCCACTCTTTTTGAAATAACAAAGTTTAAAGTAATACGAAAACACTTAAAGTTTCAATACCGTTCACTACTCAGGTCATATGGTTCATGCATAGAGACTAAGATAAATAGCTCGTTTTGAATTCCTTGTTTCTGTAAAGTCACCAGAACCAATTTCTTTACATAGATCCACATATTCTACCAACAGTAGTTTAGCCCCACCTATTCATATTGAAGTTCTAAGGAGTATTTCCTTTCTGAGTGTTTTTTGAATGATGCACAATATAGGGCAGCCAATCAGAACAGAGCTTATTTACATATATCAGTCTTCAAGGAACAGTAACAAAAACAGCTTGTTTAATAAAGAGAGGTTAGAAATGGTCATGTAAAAATGAATCTTGACCATTTTTGTATAGAAAAAAAACACACAAATGTTATAAGTTGACCTTAAAGGAAAAAAAAATAAAATACATGAAAAATAGGTAGTAGGATGAGGGCCCTTTAAGTTTAAACTCAGTGAAGTTCCTCTTTATCAATAGCATCGGTGAACTCAACAATCAGGATATTGTCATTCAGATTTATTTGTACAACCACTCCATTATCTTTAACACAAATATATGCTCAACCACCCCCAGTCCCGAGGTACGTTTATTCCAGGTACAGTTTATTAATTTTACGTCACAGTTCAGCCCTGCGATGGACTGGCGACCTGTCCAGGGTGTGTCCTGCCTTCCGCCCAATGACAGCTGGGATGGGCTCCAGTACCCCACCGCGACCCAGAAGGATAAGCGGTTTAGATGATGTATGTATGTATGTCACAGTTCATTTAAAGCTGCTGAGCAAAGAAATAAACCCTGTTCGCGCTCATCTCTATGATTTTCAGTGTAGAATAAAACCTACAACTGAACCTTAATCTCTCTATTAATATTCATCCGCGTTAAAATTGCTGTCACTGTACTGAAGCAGGATGTACAGAAATGTAATGTGAGGTTCGCTCAAAAACGTTATCCAAATTACTAACTGAATAACCTCAGCAGAATGAATTTCGGCGAAACATGTATAAAACTCTCTCTTTAATTATTCTGCAGAAGAAGCACAGTTACGTGTAGGAAATTGATAACCCTCATATCCTGCTGCTGTAGATTTATACTTGTAAAGACTAATGTGCTCATGTTAGGAATGAAGCTAAGGGGAAAAATGGAGGAAATACTCCAGTACCATAGGGATATTTCTGTGTCATTAATCACAGACGGGGAACATGCTGAACTGCTGGCTACAACCTTTAGGAAAGTTAAATTAAACTTTTAGGATTTGAGGCCCGATATCGATATCTATTAACTCGGAGTTTTTCTTTCATTTATTAACTTTTACATTGTTACTTTTTACACACTGTAAAAAAATACTAATCATTTTAACTCTTCGAAGTTGAGAAATATTTATAATCAAGCTTACTGAGCATCAAATATTAAGACAATAGAACAGTAATCGTGTGCGTTATATTCTGTTAACTTATTGTTTCAAGTTCAATACAATTAAACTTTTTGAAGCCAATTTACTGAACTTTTTTACATTAAAATTCCATATTTGTTTTTACGGTGTACCTGTGAACAAAACACTTCGCAATGTTTCATTCAGGGTTAACCAATTATTATTTTTTTTTAATTTCAGAAAAGTTCGCAAAATTTGAGAAAAGAAAGAAAACTTGCAAAAAATGCCAACTGCACTTATTTCGATCTCAAACAATGCTCTACTTAATTATCGACTATAATTCTCAATTAAAAAATTAAAACGAACATATTTTCATTTAGCGCACACCTTAAATGTTTTATAAGAATTTAAATAAGTAAAAGCATGCGATCTGTAGTTTTTAGCCAATGTTTCAGACTGTCTAACAGTGAAATCCAAACCGTAGGCAAATGTGCAATAAACAACTCCTAGTAAATTCAATAACTTGCCTCATAAAGCAGAAATAAAGCACGTGTTTTGATAGTAGGTAAGTACCGATAAAAGGAGTAAACCAGATACTGTAGTTAATGCCTCTGTAGCTTGTACGGACTTATTAGCGATACAGCTCCCTTTAAAAAGGAAATGAGGTGGCCCATTGAGAGCATTCTCGAGTTCAGTTAATATGAATGGCACACGGTCCTCTGCGTTCCCCTGAGAGGTTCGTCCAGTTTGACAGTGTACAGCTTATAAACTCCGAGCCTAGACCCCCGCAACCCCCAAACCCCATTGGTCCTTTCAAAGCAGTAAACAATAACGCCCACTTACGAAGCCGCCCACTTCAAACGTAACCGCCTCCTTTTAAACCGCCTGTCACGTGAGCACAGAGAGGTCCGTGGGGGACGCCTATGGGGTAGAGGTGAGAGGAGAGTGTGTAGTTTTGCTCCTGTCACTGTAACTCCAGCACGCACGCAGCGCCGTCACACATGAACATATCAGCGGTCAGTCCATCACAGAGCACAACGCTGTCCTCTTTGCACCGAGTTCGCTGAGTGATGAAAGAGCACAGAACTATCTGGAGGCTGCAGCAGAGCGAGGTAGGCAGTGCTCTTCAAAGTTTTGAAGCCACAAGGTGCGCGGCTCACCGATGACCAGGCTGAAAAAGTAGCAACTCTCGGGCTGACAGAGTGCCGCGTCGGGTTAATGTGCTCCGACCGGAGAGAAAACCAGCTCAGTTCAGTTTTATTCAACATTGATCCCAAGAAGCTTTACAGAAATCTCGGTTAAGACCTCTAGTCAGAAAGCCGAGGGCAACAGCGTCAGGAAAAAACTTCCAAAAGCATGAAGAAGAAACACTGAGGAGACACGTCCTCCTTTGGATTTACGACATCAAACTTAGCAAAGTTTGGAGATGCCTCGACCGGGCAGGAACACGTACAGCGAGCAGAAGCCGCCCTACTCCTACATCTCCCTGACCGCCATGGCCATCCAGAGTTGCCCGGAGAAGATGCTGCCGCTCAGCGAGATCTACAAGTTCATCATGGACCGCTTCCCGTACTACCGGGAAAACACGCAGCGCTGGCAGAACTCGCTGCGTCACAACCTCTCCTTCAACGACTGCTTCATCAAGATCCCGCGGCGGCCTGACCAGCCGGGCAAAGGCAGCTTCTGGGCGCTGCACCCTAGCTGCGGGGACATGTTCGAGAACGGCAGCTTCCTGCGGCGCCGCAAGCGCTTCAAGGTGGTGGCCCCCGCGGACCCGCTGGCGCGCAGTAAGGCGGCCGAGGCGGCGCATTACCTGCAGCAGCAGGCCAAGCTGAGGCTGAGCGCGTTGGCCGCAACTGCCGCCGCCGCGCACCTGCCGCCAATCGGCGGATACCACTTCACCACGTCGCCGCCTCCACCGCCGCCCCCGCCTCCGCCGGCTGCGTTTAAGCACCCTTTCGCCATCGAAAACATCATCGCCAGGGAGTACAAAGCGCCCGGCACCGGCGGAGTACCCTTTTCGCCCGCACAGCACGCGCCACAGGCCTACCCATTGCATGCGTGGCCGCACGTGTACGGCAACGGCGGCGGCGTGGAGCATGCTGCTGCAGCTGAGTGCTCCGCTTACGGCGGGGTTCCGCTCAGGGCTGTTCCCGCGGTGCCCGTGCCCATCAAACCACCGCATCTCCCGGCATTTTTGTCCGCATCGAGTCGCGCGCTTAGCCCCACTGGGCCGCAGGGGGCGGGAGGCGCGAGCCCAGCGTCCCAACAGAGTCCGGCAGCACTGCGCTCGGTCGCTGTTCACTGAGGCGAAATAGCCTGAGAGTTGGAGGGAGACAAAACTTCCTGGGCACATGGACAATTCTGTATTCACGAAGAAAAAGCTGGGACCAACAAAATACCGTTTCTGTATGACTACATAACACAAAATACAGCCCAATCAAAGATATCAGCGCAGGCTATATCATATTTGAGCAGACAAATATTGAACACATATTGAAATAGCTGAGGCCTACTATCCTTTTACTGCATCACGAATATATCAACTTTATTTAGATCGAGCCTCCGACATTGATCCATTTGTATTTTACGCTCTAAATCCACTTTAAAGCGAAGCCCGCTTAAAGAGTTAAAATAAAAAACGATCCACAGCGCAAATTCTTCTTTAAGTAAATCACTTTAGGCCTAAAAGAAGGACGTTAGGCTACATTCTGCTAACATATAATCACACCACAAAGGAAAAACAACGCACCGGGGCGAAAGAGCAAATCAAGTTTTGTAAAGTACACAGTGTGGCCTCTGGAGACTGAACTGAAAATATTTCCTGATGCACTTTTTTGTGATGAGATCCACACTGAAAGAACACCTGAATCATCTGCTTTGCTGAGCATGTGGAATAAATGCTGTATATTTGTACCTTTTGGTAGACACTGGCATGGTGTGTTGTGTTTGCTGCTAGCATGCTGCTTTTTAAGTGTGCGGTATACCTGCAATAAATTATAAACTTTGTCAACAAAATATGTTCTGTTTAAATCATGTCGAATGCTAGCGACTCAGACGAGTTTAATAAGTCTGATGGTAATGGAGTTTAATGTTTGATATTCAGTTGCTAAACATTTAAAACTAAACACACAATCTATTATAGTATTGCTTTATGTTCAGACAATTTCAACTATTATTATAATCAGTAGTAGTAGTAAAGACAGTAAGTAATTTTTTAATGTACAAAAATAAAAGTACATTTTTGCACAAAATGCGTGCAAAATTATAATAGCAATTTATAAAATAGGGCCTAACGAATAGACCCCATCCTCTCGATATAAACAAAGTTTTTTTTTTAGTTTTTTAAAGGCTTCCTTTTGCTATATCACATTTTTCAACAGGAGTCCTGGAGACCTGTAGAAGATCTTGCTTTCCTCCTCAGCTCTCCAGCCCTCCCCATCACTCCATCCAGTCCAGAGTGGCATCAAGCTTAAAACTCACACACGATTTAGGATGTCTGTAAAAGTAAAAATGATCATTCCCTTTTCAACTTTAAGCTTAAACAAAACGAATTCATTCGTTGCTCCAAAACGTTCCATATATACTCGAGTGCAAATTTTGGACGCCCCTCGTCAATTTACACGTTGATTTTACGTGTTGATTTTCTTAGCGAAAACAAGTACACATTCTGCACATTTAAATGCACAATTACAGTTTATTTGTTGAATTAAATATACTGGGGAAAATAAAACATAAAATTGGTTGTACAACAGTTATGGCACATTTTATATTTGATGTTTTTTTAAATATGTTAAACTACAAATAAAATACAAACTCTGCACTACAATTATCACACAAATTCCATATTTAGTATGCTCCCTGTAGAGGAGGTTTACTTAACTTCACTTAGAAAATCAACAAAACATGTAATTTGATTAGCGGTGTTTAAACTTTTGCATAGCAATTCTGGTCAAAACTAACAATAGCAACAAAAAGTTCCATGTTATTTCTGAAGGTTATTAAAAATTTTTAAAAAATATCAAATACATTTGTTTCGATTTCTAAAGGCTATGGCACCTACTGCACTGAAAACAAGAAAAAAAATATTTGTAGTAAGCCTATTTAAGAAAATGCTTTGCTTAATATTACATTCTGCAATTTCTGCAAATTGAATTTTACTTTGCTAAAAAAAATATTGAAATAAATTTATTGCAAATCTATGGATTACAACTTGTGTCTTGACAATGTTTGAAAATGCTCAGGCTGTTTTTGTATACAATGGTTTACTTAATCATCCCTATGCATCTTCTATAGAATGAACACCAAGAAGTCGTGTTATTTAAATGCTTTAAGTTCATCCAGCAGCTTCACAAATGGCACGTAAAATGAAATGACACACAAAAATGAACTGAATCAAAAACGTTAAACTGAGCTGACTTTCAAGACACAGGTTAAATCATTTGGAGTACATGGTAAGCATTTGTTACATGAGGAATGACCAGTTAAAACAAAAACAAAAAAGCATGACCTCTGAGAATGCCCAGTCTGGCATGTAATCAGGTCATATAGTGAAAAGCACTCATTAGCATTGTACTGGTCAGTTTTATGAACAAAGACACCAGACTGTCATCTTTATCACAACACGTCCATGATCTGTTTAGACACCGATGAAGGTTAGGCAAGACAGCAAGTGAAATAAGGACCTTTCCTTACAAATCCACAGGGCAGAGCTTTAATTAAAAGAATTAATTAGAGTGAAGGGACATCCAGGGTAATTAGCATGCATAATTTATGTACTCCTTAATGCATATGGGTAGTGGCCTGAACGATGAGCCAGCTTTAACCTGGTGCAGCAAGAGACAGAATGTAGAGGAACTTATTATTTATAATAGCTCTGTACGAGAACTAATGCCACAAGGCTGAAAATCAACTCCCAGAACTTAGGGGGGAGTTTTTGTCTGCGGTTAGCTAAATGGCCTTATTTATTTTTCTCTGTGTGACATTATTAATATGAAGTGTGCATATTTATGAGAGAAATACCTGAACATGCATGGGCAGGGGATGGCAAAGATATTTATAAGGCTGTAAATCAGCTGCCTGTAGAGTCTGGAGACTGAGAGAGGGCTGAAAACAAAGACTGCAATTTATGCATCCTATCAATCTGTACAGACACATTTAAGTCCAAACACAAGCCTTATGGCCATCTGATCCCATAGTGTTCTTTTTAATAACTGTTAGGACAATTTAGGAAACATTTCAAAGAAACTGTTGCTACTGAATGGATACTGCCCAAAGAGGCTATAAATCAGAATGCTTTTTGCATTTGTTTTGTTAGTTTTGAGACTCATTTGCATTCAGTTAAGGAGTTAGGGAGGGAATTACCTCTATTGGTGTTTAATTTACAGCGTGTCATATACCTACTTTGAACATAAGCCAAACTGACAAAGGTTCAGATCTTTCAGTAACAGTGCTGCACTGCAGTGTATGGTATATTTGCTTTGGCTAGAATTTTCAACAACATAAAAGATTGATAAACAATAAGGCAAAAAAAGAGTCCCTCAGTAGACCATTATTGTTGTATTATGTCCACAAAACTGCTTGTCTACTATATCTTGATATTAACAAACTGTGATACCTCAGTTCTGATGATATTTTAGTAATATATTTTATAGGTAATAAGCATTACATCCATTATATAGTGCTGTGTTATTATTATTATTATTATTATTATTATTGTGTGCACTTAATTTGAGGTATCCATTGTATCCAGAACCTGCCAATGAACTGCAATGCATGTGACTCGTTGAGACTGTTAATAAATATTACATTTTCTTTCTGGAAATATGGTTTGTGTCTGGTAAATAAGGCCACCTTAGGTGTAATTTTAAGTGAAGAAAACAAAACAAATCAGTCAAATCAAAACAATGTCTGGTGTTCCTATAGTATAGTAGCCACATTTAGGAAACATTGGCTCATTAACATTACCAATTCTAACTTATTAGCTTTATTAATACTAATTGAAATACTGTCTTATACTGCTACACTGTGATATATTTGTGAAAACTGTGGTATTGAATTTTATGAAAATCACCCAGCACTAGTGCACAGTGACATTGAAAGTGACAGAAAACAGGGAAAGGTGCATTCCCTGGAATTCTGGTGGTCTCTCAGAGGACAGACAAGCTGAGGTTTCTGGGCTTAACTCGAAGCCTTGGCTGACCCTTCCCCCCAGCTAAATTCCCCAACAGTACTTGTATAAAATGAAGTTTGAGGCTGTCTGGGTTAATTATCATGGCTGAGTCTGACAGAAGGGGCAGGTGCAGAAACCCTGAGCTGAGCCCAGCCAAATGGTGAAATGTGCAAGACATCACTTTGTCAACATGTAAATCATGCTGCTGGGCAGAGACTGGGAAGCAAATTATGCCAGTGGGTGGCACTACCAATATTAGCTCAAAAGGGTGTTGAGGGAAAAGGTCATTGACTGATCCATTAGACTTTCATCTTACTACAACTTCTATTGTCAATGGGTTTCATGCAGCAAAATATAGTCATACCTAGAGCATACATCAGTTAAGACTGCAGCACATTTAAAATGCACCGAGAGCAGTAATCTGTTGCGTGTATGTTTAAGTTTTTATAGTGAATAAATAATCACATGATTATAGAAGTGATTGAATGAAAGTCCTAGAAGTAAGCTCTTTACAGTTTGCCCATAACTGTGCAGGAGCAGCACAGACTGTTTGGTCAGCCATAAAAGATCACCTAGCGAACACTAGCCCAGACTATTGTGTCCAGTCAATGCACTTCAGGCCTTTCAGCATGTTGCCAAGCGACCAGCTCTGTTGACATAGCGATGCTGGGTCTGATCCCTTAGCTCTGTGTGTGTTTGTGTGCGTTTGGTGTGCGTGGGTAAACGCACAGGCTTTGTCTTACCAAGAGACCTCCAGTGAGAGATACAGCACCCTTTTAAGATCGCTGTACGTGTGTGTGTGTGTGTGTGTGTGTGTATGTGTGTGTGTGTGTGTGTGTGTGGGGCAATGCATTACAGTATACAATAGGAAAGTAAAACATGTTTGCTCTGTGGGCTTGAAAGATACACTGACAAAGAGCAGGAGAAAAAAAAATGTGAAAGGTAAATGGTGCGGGATGTTTTCTAATTCCACAAGGACTCGTGGTTGAAGCAGGATTGTTCAGAGGTAATTTGAATGCTGGCGAGTTCACAAGTTTTGTATAACTGAGAAGGTTCATATATTTCAGGAACACTTATTCTCGGGACAGTACTTACTAATCAACATCGTTACTTCAAGATGTAAATGTGACCAATTTTGTCAAATGGCTAATTTTCACCTATTATCCCTGGGCAAGTTGGTG